CACAATAATTGCCTGGATGGCTTCCCTTCTTCTGGATCTACTTCCTTCCTCCTTCAAAACCTTCAAAAACACACACAATAGCCTCCAACTCTCAAGGAACAGCTTAGAACGGGGGATACAGGGCTCTAAGGGTGAATGGGGGCTGGCTTGGGGCAGTTAAGTCGTTTAAATAGGGTGCAAACCCCTGAAACTTAGGGTTTCATCCAACAACGGCGACTCGCTGAGTCCAGGATATGGACTCGCCGAGTCGCCAACTTAAAACGTGTCCTGGGTCACGTCCCTACTCGGCGAGTCGGACCTATGACTCGCCGAGTCCAAGGCTAAAATAGGAAATATTCGGATAAGATTTACATACCAGAAACCAGGTGCTACAACTGGACTCGAAAATCGGTAGACTCGGCGAATCAGGGGCTGACTCGGCGAGTCGAGTCGTGAATGGAAGGACTCTGAGCATATGAACTCGACGAGTCAGTAGGCAGACTCGGCGAGTAGCGTTGACCTGGAAGGTTGACTTGACCAAGAGTTGACCAGTTGACTTCCAGGGGTATTTTGGTAACTATTGGTATTTATTGAGTTCAGTTGTTTGGTATTGACCAGTGGAAGAGTTCGTGTCAGAGGTTGGAGCAGCGTGATCTTATTTCTTCAGCCGATAGTTACAGGTGAGTCTTCTCACCATACCAATGGGTCTAAGGCACCAAGGCCGACCCATCTTATGTTGTGTGATATGATAGTTAACTTTATGCTAGGTTCTATGTTGGTAATTATGTGATATGCTAGTTGTCTTTGTGATACTTGCATGGAAGACCATGTGGGGTAGCCCATGGTATTGGATGTAAGACTATATCGGGTAGCTCATGGCAGTCCTAGGTAAAGACCATGTGGGGCAGCCCATGGCACACTGGTATAAGTCCCTGGGGGTAGCCCACGACATCCTTATAGGTTTATGTACGTGTTATGTGTATATATATATATATGTGTGTGTGTGTGTGTGTGTGTGTGTGTGTGATGCATGATATGCTATTTGGTTATATATGGTATTTGCAGGGAAGACCCCGGGGGAAGCCCGTGACATTGGATGTAAGACCATGTGGGGTAGCCCATGGCAGTCCTAGGTAAAGACCATGTGGGGTAGCCCATGACATTGGATGTAAGACCATGCGGGGAGCCCATGGCAGTCCTAGGTTAAATCCATGTGGGGTAGCCCATGGCACTATTACAGATATTATGTATGCAGGGCTTATGTGATATATGGTAGCTTTGATAGCTAACAATATATATGATATGTGGGTAGCTTTATAGCTATCAGGATATGTGATATGTGGTTTGTGTGAATGGTATGCTTTGGGAAACTCACTAAGCTTCATGCTTACAGGTTTGTTTATGGTTTCAGGTATCATCGTTTTGGAAAGGAAGAGCTCGGGTTGATCGCGGTGCACACACCTATGATTTCCGAAATGAATGATTTTGGGATAAACTCTGATAAACGATTTTACTGACTATGATTTGATTGTTTGAATTAAATGGTATCAATGTTTTAGTTATATTAAAAATGAATTTTTTTACCCCTGATTTTTGGGACGTTACAAGTTGGTATCAGAGCCTTGGTTTGAGGGATTCAGACATACTTGCGGGTGTGTCTGGACTCAGACTGAGGGTCTGTAAGGTTTTAAAGGAAAATGTTTTCAAGGAAAAGTTTTCTAAGAAACGAAAAGGTGTGGCGCATGCAATCAGTCGGGCTCAAGTAAGTTTCCCCAAAATACCCACAACTGTTATTTGTTATGATTTGCTTATGAATCTGAAGATAACATGCTAGTTAGGGCTAGGAGAGATGCCTTTGTATGTTGTATGAGCCCTTAAACTTGCATTCTAGTGCTGAGTAGTCAGCGATAGATTGGCCTGATATGTGATGCTTGTAGCTTTGGAATGTTGGATGCCATGCTAGAATGAGAATGAATATTGATATTGGTAACTGCCACGTGTATGTTTTAAAATTGTATACGGTTAGGATCTCATGGCCATAGAATAATTGGTGCGGCTTGTTTCCTGTTCTGTGTACAATTTGCATGCATAAGGCAGCTGTCAGCAAGGGTGGATGTGGACAACTTGGGTTGTGGTACGTGGGCCGGATATTCTATGATCGTTTGTGGGTCGAAGATTACCCTAGGACGAGCCTAAGATGAGATTGGTGTTAGGAGTGCGTCTGCACGAATGTTGCTTGCTTTGTGGAACTCTTTAGTGAAGGGAGTCAACTACTAAGTGGATGCGACGATATCCAGGAGGTAGATGACTGGCATCGTGAGGAGTTCCTCAGCAGCTGATGGCAGGGTGAGGTCGGGAACCTAGGAAAGCCTAGGATATGCTCCAGTGAGTAGTGAGGCGGTTCGTTGTGATTGGGAGCCTAGGGGAGACCTAGGTGGTTCTTAGGTGGATATTGTGCTGCTGTTTAGCAGACATTTAGTACATCAGGGAAGTAGGTGACTTAGAAGATTTGGGATGATTCTGGAGGAAAGTATGGATAGGTGTGGAAGGTAGTATTGGGCCCGTACTACTAAAAGCACAGGATCCATACTCGAATCGGGGAAAGTCTTGAAGAATCCAAGAAACCTGGAAAAGGAATTCGTGGTTATGAGTGGACTGTGGGGGAAAGCTGCAGTGCAGAATGCGGATGAGCACGCAAGGGGAAGGACCAGGGTTTGGTCCTGGCTCAGGTAGAGAGCCAGTTAGCAGAAGGACTGCCAGGATTGGGAGTTCGCATTGGATCTCTTGCATCAGGCGGTAAGGATTGATGGTGCGATCTATTGCACTTTCGGAGTTAAAGACTTTGTCTAGGGGATAGTTTGTAACTGGTTAGGAGCATAGGTTGCTCCATCTATTGCAGATCGGCCATGGACGATTGAGCATGTGAGTATGTCAGGTTGCGAAACCCTGAATGTTATGATTTTTAGAGTTCGAGAGCAGGGATTGATTAGGGTCACCTTTGGAAAAGGGGACCAACCCGGGTGCCTATAGTGGAGGATCTCGGGAGGGGGATTCAGGAGTTTGGATCAACTTTCGAGAGGCCAATAGGGCCGGATTCGGTGCAACACTTGCGAAAACTACGATGTGTGATAAAATGATGAGAGGCCTCGATGTTGTTGTCGTTTATCCATTCATCTAGCGGAGTATAGATGACGACCACAGACTCTTCTAGACAGTCCAGTGGAACGCTGGCAGACTCGCAACCTGTAGGTGTTGTGAACGATGTGTTCACCGGTGTACTCCATCCCCCTCATGGTTGCCTTTAGGAAATTTATTGCTGAGGAACCCCCTTACCAGTAGTGTCCATCCCGATGATGATCCTTAGGATAGGTCCCTTATGATAGGTGTTTAGGGACGTAATGTGAGGATAACGAAAATGGGTAATCGGGTTATTGTTGATTGATGAAATTAATAAACTATTTATTGTGGGTTGAAAACCCTATGTGCTCACCATGCTTCCAAGCCTGACCCACTCAGTTTTATGTATTACAGGTAGTGGCGCTCAAACATAGTTGTGATGTGTTGGGATGAGAGATTATGGATATAGGCCTGTAGATATGAAATAATGTAGTAACGGTTATATTGTATTGTTTATACTTATGTACTGTATCGAACATGACATCCCGAGTTTTTTAATGAAATACATTTCTAAGGAAATACTTTTGATAAATCTTTATCATATTATTGTTTTGGGACAAATTCCGCAACTCTTTTATTAAAAGGTTACTCTGATTTTGAAATAAAGTATAAACAAAAGCGGTCTTTTCTGGCCGTGATTTTGGGGATGTCTCACCTTCCTTGCTTCAATTTCCTTTGCACTCTTAGCTTTCTTCCTCCAAGATTCTCTTTTCCAAGCTTTAACACCACACCAAGGCACACACACACGAATTAGGGTTTTAAGGGGGCTCTCAAAGACTGTAAAGAGGCCAAAGGAGGCTAAGGCTCCTTTAAATAGAGGTGCTAACCCCGGGATTTAGGGTTTCCACTGCCAACTCCTACTCGCTGAGTCCCAACATGGACTCGTCGAGTAGGTCACTTAACATGCGATCCCATCCCGCTGCTACTCGACGAGTAGGTCAACCAACTCGTCGAGTAGAGCTCAACCCAATAAATCTTATTTAAGCAATACCTGAGAATCGGGGCGTTACACATTGCTCAAACAAAAAAAACCTATATCCGTTTTCTGAATCTTTTTTTTTATTGAACACCGTTCAACCATATAAACTCGATGACAATTCTTCACTAACCTGCAATCAAAATGTTTTTCTTGAAAAAGAAGAATGAGAAAGACATTATAAGCAAAACATTGATGTTTGGAGAGTTACATTCAAGATTGAGTAATACATACAAATCAAATATAAAGGTCAAATGAGAAATTGAATATAAAGAAAGAATAGAAAAGCTTCATTTGTTTTGGTTAAAAGAAAAAAATCATATTAAAATTACCATCGATGCGACATAACTCATTTCTTCAAATCATCATATTTAGATCGTGAATGCTTTAACTATATTAAAACTTTTGAATCTTAATATCTAAACCAAATGACGACTTTTTGTAAGAAAAATATATTAATATAACTACATATATAATGAAGGTTAAAGGGTGTGGGGGTTTCAAATGCATGAGGTGTTGAACTTATAAAGTATGATTTTCTTGGAATGAGATTATATGTGATTAATTACATTGAAGGTGAAAGGGTGTGGGGGTTTCAAATGCATGAGGTGTTGGCAAATTTTTATGAAGGTTTCAAATGCATGAGATTAACGAAAAAAAATGCTAATTTTATAAGTATGTATGATAATGATATTATGATTTGTCTGTTTGTTTTATATACGGTGCACTAACAATCCACAATTCATATGGACTTGTGTATTTTACTAGGATAGAATTGATCATGGGCTAAAGGAGATGGGCCAAATAGGTGACTGATCTTGCAAGGTTATAATAGCAAACGGACTAAAGATGACAAAGGACTGATTTAGTGAAATTCAAGGTAATAGATAAAGTAAGTGTTATATACATTAGGACTTTCTTTTTCGAACCAAATCACATGTCCAATGAAAGTAAATGACCAATTTACCCTTCTATTTACAAATGATGCCGAATGATAAAGCATTACGAGCATCCACATCCAACTGAAACACCATCCATGTGATTAGGAAATTAAACTCGATACAAATCATACCACATCCTCAGGAACCTGAGGGTTGTGTCTGTGCCTCTCTTCTTGGGTCACGACTGGACCTTTTGTGTCCACGGTTCCAACCGAACCCTGACCCTTACGCCTACTTTTCGAACTACCCCCACCCTGTCCCTGGCTCGCTATAATTCCCGACTGAAGTGCCTCAAGATACAATACCTTCACCAAATTCTTCAACTTCCTCCTAAAAGTTGGCAATCTAGACATCGAACCCACTATACCCTGCAACCTGTAATCAGAACATGAATTAGACTGAGACTGATACTGATTCAACAAGATGTGAAATATAACATACCGTCGTATGATAGCTTGTAGTTGTGCTCGTCTGACATGATCACCGGATGGGAAACCGGTATCATCCCAATCTTCCGGTCTCTCGTTCTTGTTCCTCATCACAAGCTTTTTCAAACAAAACTCCTCATCTTCACTCAATTCAAGCCCCTTGATTTGCTCCTTCATTATCAAAAGTGGCCCAATGAACCACTCAAATACTTTATCCCTCGGTAAATTTGTCCTCGTTAGCTCCACCTCATCCGCTAAAACAACAATTACAAATCATAAAACAAATCTTTCGCGACAAAAATTATGGGTGTCGCTAATGGTTAGCAGAACTTACAAATAATTAAACCTGAAGATTCAGATTTTGCTGAAGCAAGAAGACACTGTAATATAGACCATGCGGGTAATTTGATCCCTAGTTTCTTACATTTCCCCTTCACTATACATTCTTCAATGTCTTTAACTTCTATCAAACCATCGCGAAAAAGTATTCTTCCATTCACCTCACATGACTTGAACAACCAATCCCAAACTTGCACAGGTGTGTATTGTTGAAGAGCCTGTTTCAAAGTTTTTGAACGTTGTGAAACCAATCTTGACCCTCTTGAGCTTTCCTTTTCGTTCTTCATATCAATTGAATTCCTTCTCTCTAATCCATCAGATGCTTTCATGTTCTCACGATATCTTGGTCTGCAATTGAAAAGATTTTCAGAAAAAAACCCATCAAGAATACGATCAAATTTGAAAAGTAGCGACGATATATAGTTATATACGTATACCTAGGAAAGCATGATCCTTCTCTTAAGTAAAGCAAGTCGTTTGTGTACTCATCAAACAATGAAACCACAGCCACGGTGTACGCAAATCCAAACTTGATTGAATCTTCCTGAAAAAGAAAAGAAGATTTAGCGACATTGTGTTTAGAATTTGGAATTAGTGATGGGGTTCTGTTTTTTGGTCAAACCTGGTGGACGATTATGGCGCTATATAGAGCAAGACCAAAACTGGAGAAGAGAGATGCGATTACAGCTCCGGCGACTGCTAAAGGCCATAAGACGATGGCAAGTCCGGCGAAAGGCACACAGACAGTTTCCAAAAAAGGGCCTTCTCTCCCGATTAAGTCTTCTAATAGTCTCTTCCATCCGATAATCAACATGTATGGACTCTTCCATAGAGCAACGCCGGTTATCAGAGGTACATCGATGGCGATGGCGATGGGGATGATGAATAGACTCTTTGGCAATTTGGATAATCTGTGATGTCATCGGAAAAGTTCGGAAATCCATGAATTTTACAAACTGGGTGTTGTTGAGAACTATAAGAAAGATTGGATTTTTATCATTTTAGGAACCTGATGTCGACTGGTTTCTCGCCGGCGGGAATTTCTTCACTGAGATCGTCCATGAATGAGAAGTAAGAATGGAAGCAAAAATCTGTAAATCTCGAACCACAGTGCAACTTCCTTCGAGTGTGGACCTACAGCCATCCTGAAGCAAGAAATCAGATGAGAAATCGATGACTCGTTAATCGGGATTGTTTGATGTTTGATGCTAATGCTACTTACAACAAAGCAATGGAAGCACTTGTCTTTGTGATCTGTGCCAATAACTTCAAAGGTTGCGATTAACGGAGAGAAAAACCCAAAACCTATTCCGCCGAGGAGGCTGCCGACGATGGCTACAACCGGCCATAGTACAAGAGGAAGAGGTAAGAACAGAAGAACAAGCAATTTCAACACCCATCCAACCCTTTTAGTCCTGCAAATTAAGTTTCCCAAATAGATCTGAGAATTGCGATATGACATACTAACTAATTGATTCTATGCATACTAAAAGTGTTCTAAGGAAGTTACTTGAGAACACAGTAGTAAGTCCAGAAGAAATGCGCCGGCCAAAGTCCGATGGCCACCGACGAATTTCCAACCACCATTATCACCACCACAATTGGGCCAATTATCACCCCTGCAACTCAAAGATTGTCAATTTCTTACGTGGTGATTGTGAAACTTCTCAAACATAAACTTCAAAATGGATTTTTTTTTACCTTTAAGCAGACCGAGAGAAAGGAGGAGGAGGAAGAAAGGAAGGAAGGAGATGAAGCTCCATAGTTTAGCGATAAACCCTCTTGGTACTTTCATTTTCTAATCAATCTAGAAACATAAGAGATTCAGTCGCAAATTACAGGGCTTTTTTTCGTTGGTGTGGATTTAAAGAAGACGGTTTTTCAATAACTCTAAAAAATCGAGCAATTATCAGGTTTTCTTCTCTTCGCCTTTTTCTGGGGTGTGCGATTTAGATTTAGGGTTAGGGTTTATCAAGAACTCGTGATTAGAAAACAGAGAGAGAGAATCTGCTCCTGATTCAAACAGAAGAATGAAAGGGGGGATTTCGTTTGTGTAATTTAGGTATCGACTGTATTAAACTCCAACTTTTCGTAAGTTCTTTTTCTGAAAAAAGCAAGGAAGTGGGTGAAGACAGGAGATTACGTGGAGGACAGCAATGGCTATTTTTTGCACGTGGCTGCCTTAAAATAGCTTCCCGCCACAACACCAATGACAGTTTACGCTACCACGGTTGTCGCGGCTTTTTGTCGCTTTCTTCTTAACTGTCGTTATTTTTCTCTTTATAATTTAATAATATAAATAATAGGTATAGAAAAAAACAGGGAAATTTGTACATACCTTACAACAAAAAATAAATTTAGATAAAATATGTTACACAAACCATAACATGGGTATAGACAAAAAGGATTTTGTATATACATTACAATAATAAATGAATTTAGAAAAAATATGTCTATAATACTGTTTTACAATTAGATTCCCTCAAACTCAAAATGATACCATTATGGATCAATCTTTTGACCTCTGTTTCATCTTTTGAATTCGGTGCCCATTCATATATGTCAGTGAGTATCATCTATGGTTTCCGTTTCCTTCATATTTAGGATATCGAATTCAACCGTACCCTATCTTCACCCATGTACATAACATTCAATGTTTCTCGTGCTTTCTTTGATGTGTGATTCTCTACAATTAACTAGTCTTTCGTGATTCCTTAATAGATGTAGGCAAGAGCCATCTTGTCTTTCTACACATGAATACCAAACTTTTTGATCCTGTATAAAGAGTCGCATAGATGCTTATAAACAACTAGTAGTGATTAGGTCATCCACATTGGGAGTTGCATGCAAGTTTAATAGATTAAATGTGAATATAATATAGAAGAGAGAGAGCGTGTGTGTGGAGTTTAATGACCATTCAACGGTGCAGTAGAATCGTAATGAAAATTTATGAATTTTTTAAAAATTAAATTGAATGTGTATATTCTTTTTCCTACATGACAATCCATAAAACTTTTCATTTGTTTAATCCATTGGAGATGTCATTCGTGAATCTATGATTAAAACTCAAGGGTGCTAAACTTAAATAAACGAACAAAAAATATTGACAAATTTTCTTATTTTCTTGTTATGTTATCAATAATATCATATTAAAGTAGTTATTTTATTAAGACGATGGTAACATAGAGTGGGGCATGACACAAAATTATGTGATTTTTGTATTTTTTTTTTTCGGTTATTTGATTTTTTGAGACTCTTATTTATTTTTCAATTTCACATATTATTTTTTTATATGTTTAAAAGGTTTATAAAATAAAAACAAATTATAATATCTATAACTTTTTTTTGTTAACGGCGTATCTTGTTTGGAATATTTCTAGGTATCCAACTCCTCCATTCTTGTTTCTAGGTATCATATGGGCTATATATGGAGGTTCTAGAACAAGAAGATTTTCGAACAAATGATGACATGACACATATTGATTCTAGAGGATACAAAACTATATATAGATCTCAATTCTCAAGTCACACTAAATAAAAGTAAATTAAATTAGATCGGCTTAAATGGTTGTGTGATCTCATCTTCCACATGACATCATTATATAACAGGTTGTGCCTTCTTATTGGTCATTGTTAATAAGTGGAAGATTTAGTCTACTTGTGTTCTCCTTTGGAATTTCAATAAGTGATCACCACATATTAAAAGCTATGAAATCCAAACGCCTGCAACCTTGATGCATGCATTAACATGTAACTCTTGTTTAGGGAAGATGAAGAGTATCTCATAATGCTACATCTCCCTTTACTTTAACTGCAACCTGGACACACACACACACATCTATATAAGCATATCCCAATTACTGTGTGTTTCAATGCGTGTTTGTAATAGACATGAACACATCAAACAGAAAAGAAACATGGATTGATTGTTATAACAGTTCCCAGAAGATATTACTTGTGGGTGAATGTGATTTCTCATTTTCCGCATGTCTAGCTCGAGCCTTTCGCACTGCTAAAAACATGGTTCCTACTTCATATCTTGATGAAGGTAGGCGTATATACGGAAGAATAAATTATATTTATTATATCTATGAAGTGAGTCTAACTTGATTTGTCCTTTTCGCAGGCTTTTCATGTTTCTATTATGTTATCTTAGAGCATGACTCCTAAATTTTTGTGTTCGATCATATCAATTTATGTGACGTTTTGATGATGAAATAACATTTTGTTTGTCTAGTCGATGTGGTGTACGATTAATTAGTTAATTTTATAATCATATTTAATATATAAAAAATTATTTTATAAAAGAAATTAGCTAGCTTTTTTTTTGTTTTTCAAAATTATGGATTTAGTTAACTAACTCATCACACAAAGTCTACAAATTGTTCATAGATTGGCTAGTTGAAACGCTTTGGACTCGTGTACCACACCTTGAAGAACTGGAGAGATTAGGTTGCTTATTGTTGTATGAAGTTGATGTCTACAAGATGCACACTCACCCCATTCTCAAGAAAATGAAGTTCGACAGCATCCTCTTCAATTTCCCTCATGCGGGTCATTATGATTACTTACGTGAAAGTGACCAGGAATTGATCCAGTAAGATGTTTATCCTCTTAGTTAGAGTACCAATGCATGCATCGATGTTTGTACTAGTGTGCATGATTGTGTTCTACATATGTGATGTGATGACAAGATGCATAGGGAGTTGGTAGGAGCTTACTTCAGAAGTGCAAGCAAGATGTTGAGTAAAGGAGGTGAGGTGTATATAAGGCATCGAGATGATCCTCCGTATTACAGATGGGATGTTATTTCGCTGGCTGCTGAAGCAGGTTTGAAGTTGAAGGAGAAAGTGTTGTTTGATAAAAGTATGTATCCTGGTTATCATCACAAAAGAGGAGGGGGTATAAATACTAACAAGACTTTTCCTATCGGATACGCTTTTACTTTTCAGTTTGTTCTTGATTTGCCAAAGGTGGATGATCCTCATCTAAAGAGTTATGAAGAAGTTCAGGTATTAGAGGCTCATGATAAGGAAGTTTGTGTATTAGAGATGAAGGATCGAGTTCATGGTGATGAGGTTCATATATCAGAGATGAAGGGTCAAGTTCATGGCGATGAGACTCATGCAATGAAGATTAAAGATCAAGTTCATGAAGATCCTCATGATGTTCAATCATTAGAGATGAAGGATCAAGTTCATGATCATCTAGAGAATGATGGCATAACTAATCATGGTGATGAAGTTCATGTTTTGAAGATGAAAGGTCAGGTTCATGGTGATGATCAGGTTCATGCATCAAATATGAAGGATGATCAAGATTATGGTCATGAGGGTCATGTATCACATACGAGGGGTCAAGTTCATGATGAGAGTGTAAAGACTGATCATTATGATGAAATTCTAATGGAAATGAAGGATGATGTAGATGATTATGATAATGATATTAATGCATTTGAGATGAAAGGTATTGTCAATGAGCAACATGAAAAGACGTCTGATCAGTTTCTTGATGTTTATGTATTAAAGATGGAGGATGAAATCCATGACTATGAACATCATATGAAGAATGATGAAGTTAATGTGGATCTTGATGTTCATGTACTAGAGATGAAGGATCAAGATTATGGCGATGAGGTTCATGTATCACATATGAAACATCAAGTTTATGACCAGAATCCAAAGAACGATGAAATTCCTGATCATGATGATGAAGTTGATGTATCAGAAATGAAATATGAAGTAGAAGAGGATGGTGTTCATGTATTAGAGATGAAGGATAAAGAAAAGAATGATCAAGTTCATGATGTATTGGAGATGAATGATGATATCCATAACCATGTCCATGAACATAATGTGAAGAATGATGAAGTTAATGTGGATCTTGTTGTTTATGTACTAGAGAGGATGAATCTTGTTGAAGAACAACATACGAAGGATGATAACTAAGATGATCTCAATGCTCATTTGTTAGAGATGAAGGATCATGGTCATAAACAAAATAAAGACAATGACAATGATATTCATGAACAAAAGGGGTTTATTAATCTAATGGATGCAATCAAAGATGGTGATGGTAATGTATAAAAAATGAAGAGTTATGTTCATGATCATCATATTGTTGCTGAAAAGAAAGATGGGTTTGAAGATAATATAGATGGTTATCTACATGCTCATCAAAATCATATTTAACCATGATGATAATGGCGATTTAATGGAGATCAAATAAAGATCATGTTCATGCATGATGATTATGGTGAATTTTAATGAAAAGGATGAATGTGATTAACAAAAAGAAAGAATTAGCCATGTTTGATCGTATGACTGAGTTCAAAAATTGTTACCTTTTGAGGAGAGAAGGTAACAAATTTTACATTTGAAACTGAAATTATAATAGAAAATTTTTTATATATATTCTTGCAAACTCAAAAAATTATTTTAATAAGTTTGCACTTACATCCATCAAAAACTATAAAAATTACATAAATATCCAAAATCATATTTTAATTAGAAGTATATCAATTATTTATTAAACTTTTTATATAATATTCAGAATTATGTACTAGTTTACCAAATTGTTCATTTCTCTTTCTTTAATCGATTATGTATTCTTCTTTGTTACTTTAATACATCTCCTTGATCAATTCAACATAGTGTCACCCTCATAATCTCTTCCTTGCTCTACCAACAACCACCAACAGTAAACCTCGGTGCAGCCATTCCTGTCATGCTACTTCGAATAACCTGTCATGCTACTATGAAGTTTTTGTTATTTAAAAAAATAGAAAAAATATAATTATTTAATATACAAAGGGTCTCTCTCTCTCTCTCTCTCTGATTTGTGTTGTTACTATGTATATATTTTTCTTAAATCTGGATTTCCTTTTGTTTTTTGGGGTTGCGATTTTAACTATATGTTCTCCATTTGAAATTTGAAAGCCTTTTATATACAAACAGTTTTACATTTTTTTTTTGTAACGATCGATTTTTATAACCAAAAATTTTTATTTTTTTATTAAGATAAAAACGTCCCAATTTATTAATCCATTAATTAGGAAAACTATTTATTTCGAATTACATTTATTAAAAATCAGAGTATTGTAGAAACACAAAATCTTTAATGTTGCTGATGAGTGTGTACAGTACTGCATCGCCTTCCAATAATAACCGATGATACCCGGAGGTAAGATAGTCCTTCTATAGGTTATTACCACAAAGCAGCATATTCAATACCAGGAGACAAATCTAATAGATCACTATAACATAGAAGCGTACTAAATATCAACAATTCAAGGAATGCATGGTCGTATATACTTAGAGGTGAGATAGTCACTCGGACAGATGATACTACTCTAGAACCACAACCAAACAAGGAACAAGTAATAGAGCTTAGATCAAGAGTCCTCAGTCTATCCTACATGGCTATATACATTCCCTAGGGCAACCCTGTACTAGCAGATAACCAAAACTAGTGGGCCGACATTGGTGCCTTCAACCCACGGGTGCAATGAGGCAAAACTCACATAAAATGAAGATTAGGGTTAAGTAAGAACACTTAACCCATTAAGGACGTAATTACTTATGTTTATGACTGATTAAGGTTTGACTTAGTTGTTCTCGGGTGAAATAATAACCAACTCAAAAACCCAAATATACGCCCGATCATTGTAAAAAACAGAGCTCCTCGATTCTATGATTTTTACATAAAATGATAACTAGGGTTAGTGTTCCACACTTAACCCATTAAGGACTTCATCCATTAAGCCCAATATTGCATCAAGTTACTTGTGGATAATTATTAATTATTATTTTAAGTTTAATTAATAGTTTTAACGTGGGTCCCGACCAAGTCCAAAATTAGGGTTTCTTGATATTAGGGTTTTCTAAACCCTAATTAGGGTTTCCAACTCCTAAAGTGAAATGATTAACTAATTAAATAAATATATAATTAATAAATTGGGCACCACCCACTACCACCTCGTGCAGTTGTGGTTGGAGGCGGTCCATTATGGTAGGAGGCGACGGTTTGAGTAATAATTCCAATAATCCAACACACATACAATTTCCTACAACAGACACACACTAGCACCAAAAAGAATAAGAAAAAGCCCAATACAACCACCAAAAATGGTGGCCGACGGCGGTAAGAGGTGGCAGCCACCACCTCAGGGTAGTAGTGGTGGTTTTTCTTCAGTTTTTGGTCAAGCAACACCCAAAAACAACATTAAACTGAAATAAAGACACACATAAACACCATTTCACACACATACGGGCACCACACATGGTGGCTGGTGGCAGCAGGAGATGGCAATAGGCGGCATCCACCATGGTTGGCTGCCATGGTGGTCTTCTTGTTCACCAGCCAACAATACATTACAAACATATCAAAACACGCACACACACACACACACTCGAGCAAATGCACCCACCACACAGATACACTTCGGTCTTGAAGGAGGATGATGACGGAGGGGCGACAAGTGGAATGATAAAATGAAGTGGTGGCAGCGACAACCCCTACAATATGAACGACGTTATGTGAGTTGGGGTGTACAACAGAAGAAATGGGAAGAGAATGAGGTTGAACCAACCGCGAACAATAGCAACATCTGCGAACCTCGAACCTCCGACCTCCTCGACTGACTTAATGTCGATGTTGTGACTCTTCATCTTCGTCGGCAAGGAAACAGTGACGATGGCTGCTCCGGTGGATCTTTGGTGGAGACGAAGGGTGGCGGCTGGAGAGGGGGAATGATAAGGTGGCGGCTACAATGTCCTTTTAGGGTTAGGGTTTGGAGGTTGCGGCTCCATAAATGAAGGGAAATGGGTAGAATGATAGGTCTTAACTCGTCTCTAATCAAACTTCTGCCAAAATTTCACTTTCAGTCCCTCCCACATCCATATTTTCAATTCAAATCCAGAAATTTCCAAACAAACCTTGCTTCATGAATTTCTTTACATCTCAAGTCCTAATGTTACAACATAGACCCAAAGTTCTGGAAATTTTATCATTTAACTCCTTATGGATAACACTGATAAATTATTATGGGTTTAGGGCTAAAATAAAATAAAATATAAAATACATCTTGGGGTCTTAGGGCTTATTATTTATTTATTTATTTATTTATTATTATTATTATTATTATTATTATTATGATATTACGGAAATTGTTTCTTATGAATAGTGAACTTTCATAATTTTTGTCTATTTTAATCCCTGGATTTTATGTTGTTTTTTGGCAAAATTAGTACCTGTACTTTAGCAACTTTGTTTCTCATTTTTTTAGCCATTTTGATATTTTTGGTCATTGTAATCGGTAATTTTACATTTTTTAGGAACCTTTTAATATTTAAAGTTTGGCCACAAAACTTTAACGGTTTGACAACTTTGATCCCTTTTCTATTTAGAAACTTTTTAATATTTAAATTTTGACCACAAAACTTTAACAGTTTGACAAGTTTAACGGTTTGACAACTTTGGTCTTCATTTTTTAGCCATTTTGACACTTTTGATTATTGTAATCGATATTTTTACATTTTTTAGAAACCTTTTAATATTTAAAGTTTTGCCAAAAAACTTTAACGGTTTGACAACTCTGATCCCTTTTCTATTTAGGAACCTTTTAATATTTAAAGTTTGGCCACAAAACTTTAACGGTTTGACAACTTTGATCCTCATTTTTTAGCCATTTTGACACTTTTGGTCATTCTAATCGATATTTTTACATTTTTAGGAACCTTTTAATATTTAAAGTTTGGCCACAAAACTATAACAGTTTGTCAACTTTGATCCCTTTTCTATTTAGGAACCTTTTAATATTTAAAGTTTGACCACAAAACTTTAACGGTTCGACAACCTTGATCCATTTTCTAAAAACTTACTAAGTCCTATCACTTTAATTCTTTAGCCATTTTCACACTTCTGGTCATTGCAGTCAAAACTTTTATAATTTTTCATAAAAACATGAACAAAACGGTCCGGGGTAAAGCCCGGGCTTGTCATCCTTGCACTTTCTACGTTTATCATATTTATCGATTCAGAAACAACATTGAAATCTTCTGGCCCCCGCGTAGCGGGGGTAACCTTTCTAGTTATTATTATTATTATTATTATTGTTGTTGTTGTTGTTGTTGTTGATGTTGTTGATGTTGTTGTTGTTGTTGTTATTATTATTATTATTATTATTATTATTATTATTATTATTATTATTATTATTATTTACTTATTTTATTTTATTTATTTATTTTTAACGGAATGTTACAGTTTTTTGGATTTGAGGATTTGAAAACTATTTGTTCGCATACGGGGCTAGATAATGATTTGGAGAGATTCCATTTTGCAGGGCTTCACCAAAGAGATCATATTTGATTGATTGATCGAAGATGGAGTATCCTCCTGTTGAAGTCATCGACGACGTCCTCTTTCGTCTGAGTGTCGTGCGTAACGTGGTAACCACTTGTCAGAAATGGTGAGGACCCTAGCGCAACCTCCTTCACACACTCTCTTTCAACTCAAACTATGGGCTGTTTATCATGAACTCACAACAAGCAAACTCAAAATCCTCATCACTCAAACAATCTTTCAAACCATCGACCTTCAATCTCTTTCTATCATCATGGACGACGTCAATGAGTTCTCTATCGCCCCCATAATCGCTTGGCTCATGTACACCGGAGAATCCTTGCGTCTTCTACATTACAACCTAAGAACATCACCCACCATCAACATCATAAAGAAATGCGGTCATCAAAAACTCAAAATCTTAAATCTATCTCACAACACCATAACCGGAGTCCAATCAAGTTATCAAATATTCCCATGCTTAAAAATCTCTCTCCTTATGTTACATCTCTATTTCAACAAAAAAGAAACCCAAATCAGTTTGAGATTCCAGTTTGTTTGTACACAGGACAATCTAGATTAAACGCATCTTGAAGTCGAGGAGTGA